AGTCAATAGTTTAAATCCCGTGACCCTAAATTCTTAAGTCTTTTAATTAGTTTTAGTATTTAACTTTAATATTTTTTTTATTTTTCATCGATTATCCTCTTCAATTCGTAAACTAAAGTAACTGTTTACGAGTTGCTAGTTGTAAATTGCCTCTTGGAAAATAAAATTAGCCCAAAAGGTCGACTAGTAACAACACTGGACGATCCATGGGATAAAATTCAAAACTTTTATATGTATAACGATTGCTGATTTTATATATAATTCAATATTATATATATATAATTATAAAATTATTGGATTATATATAAAATCAGCAATCGTAGCTACATATAAAAGTTTTAAATTTTATAACTAAATTACAAAATGTTATTAAGTAAACTCATAGCTAAGAAAGAAGTAGACCTACTGAAAAAAGTTTAGACCTAAAGCTCACAATCAAAGGAAAAATTGGTTTTTAAATTTTGAATATCCATTCAAAATTTAAGTGCCTACCTTTCCCTTAATTTACGAGTTTTAGGTCTAAACTTTTTCAGTAGGTCTACTTCTTTCTTAGCTATGAGTTTACTTAGTAACGTTTTTGATGTTTTAATAATAAAAAAAAATGTTTCACAGAACGGACAGCTGATTTTATGGTGCGAATTTCACTCTTCCAGCAGTTATGAAAAGAATTAAGCATTTTCAAACATATTTTTTATCGCACCTTCTTTTCCAAACATAAAAAAAAAGTCCTAAAAATCTTTATTAAGTTATTAATCACCAGTAAGACATCACACTGGATCATGGAATAATTCCCTCATCAATTTCAGATTACAACCTTCTATCAGCAGTCCAATAGATAAATTCTAAGTAAACTAATAGTCTATACTGAGATATCATCAAGGAGATCTACAAATCTTCTGTTTATTTGCATTAGTCAAATACAAAAAAATCGCTGTACCGAATGGTGGTTCTTATATTATAAATCAGCTAAAAATCACTAAAAATTGACTGTCCTATTGCTTCCTACATTTATAAATCAGCTAAAATCAGGATTCCTTTTTGGTGTGACAATTTTTTTGTATTTGACCAGTGTGTATTATCTCAAATCTTTATACTTATTTACTAGAGTTCCGACATGTTGAATGATCAAAAATCAACAAAATTTTTGGTACAAATTGGTTTAACCTATTTATGTGTCATTTACAAATTAACCTGTATTATCTACAAATCTTCCTACCTATTTGTATCAAATTTTGTATGGTTTTCTTTATTCAACCAGTGTTCAAATTAATTGACTTATTAACTTGTATATGACTTGTACACTATTAAAAAAACATAACAAGTTGTATGAGGTTCTGATTTGTTTAATCAGAAGTCAACTTGTTAGGAGTACTACTATTTATATATTATTTACAAATCTTCCTGTTTATTTGTATTAAAATTTTGTTTGTTTTTCTTTATTTACTCAGTGATATTTCCAAAAAGATAATCCATACTTATTATTATCAAAGATAATTTATGTTATTTTCTATTCAAAAAATAAAGAGGATTTAAAAATTAATATATCATAATGATAATGTATTTTAAATTTCTATTTTGGAGGTAGACTAAAGCAAATAGAAATTAAAACATAAATATAATCAGATCACATGAGTGATATGAGTTAGATATTACAAATTTGATGAGTATAAATTTAATTCAAACTATACAAATCATAACTAACCAATCCCTGACTTAATTCTCTACATAATAGTTGATTTTATACTAAATACCAATATTAAGATTTTTTCAATATGATATAATTAATTAATTAATTAAAGTTTTGATTTTAAATATTATTTATTTATGTATTCAAAAATTTTAATCTTAGTTTTTCAACAAATTTAAGATCTACATATATTATCTATTTTAACTATTATATTATCTAAATTAAAATATAAATTTTGTACTTAGAAAAAAATTTTAAATTTATAATTTGTTAAAGATTATATTTAATTTTTGATGAAATGGTTTTACAATTAAACTTGAACAATGCTTTTGATTATAATTATTTATAAGTATTAATAAATATATATAATAAATACTTTATCTATATTTCTTTTACAATAATATTTTAATTTACTACATTTTTTGCCATATATATATATTTATTAATTGTAATGCATAATGACAATATAAAAATAAAAAGTTATAAAAATACTTTTAACATTTTAAAATTTTAAATATATCAGTTAAATTCTAAAAGTATAATGTCCTTGATCAAAAATCAACAATATAATATAACTAATAGTCTTTGATATAGGAAACAGACTTGCTATGATAATTTATTTTATATAATTATCATTATTATTGTTCAAAAACTTAATAATAAATTGTTTAAAAGTCCCATGTGCTGTTACTAGCACTAGTCAAATATAAAAGAATCATTGTACTAAATGATAATTCCTATATTATAGATCAGCTAAAAATTGGTAACAATTGACCATTCTATTGCATCCTATATTATAAATTAGCTAAAATCAGAATTCCTTTTTGGTATGGTATATCTTTTGTATTTGTCCTGTGCAGTTGATCTTTTGAACAAAATACAAAAGGAGATTTACAACTAGTAAACAGTATTAACTGTAATTCACCTTCAAAAGAATTTGAAAATGACAACTAATAGCACATAGCAATTATACAGATATGTTTGTATATTAATAATACAAATTATTAAAATTGGAGGTTTTATTTGAAAAGGGCAAGGGTGAGGTTTTCATGGAATGTTCACATGGAACAAGAAAAGATTATTCACATAATAATATCACTTTATTACTAAAGGTATAAATTATAATTTGTCACAAGGACTTTTATTATTAATTTATTACAATTAGGAGTTAGAACTGATTTATATTTTCTAACTGAATTGAAGTTGAGGGAAAACTTAGCTTTTATATATCTTTGACTGTATTACAAATTTACATTAAAAACTATTTTGTGTAATAAATTATAATTCGCATTACATGAACTAATAATATAAAATAATAATAATATTTATAAAGAATAGTAATATGATAAATATAAAAGAAAATAAAGAAAATAATAAAAAAAATAAGCCAACAACAAAAAGAAATTATCTACTAAAATAATCAAATAAATTAAGCAAGAATAAGATTAAAATACAAGAAACTGGTGAAAAGTTTAATTTAATAAATTTAATAATGTAGAAATTAATTTGAAGAATTCAGAATTTATTGTTAATAGTAAATCTATAGGTCAATATCTTAACACAAAGTTTTTGTTAATAAAATATTATTTTTTGAACTTTATGTTTAATTTATATTTGATAACGTTAAAGAGCTAAAAAAAAAGGGGGGTCTAGGATAATATCCTGAGAATTAGAGGTCAGGATAAGAACACATAAGCTCACATGATTCTACCCTATCCCTAAATAAGGAAACATGAACGCATATTGCTTTATAGCCCCAATTAAATGTTATTACGTTCTCGAAAATCAAATTATGTTTTATTCTAAAGCAATGCTTTTATTAGCATCCCAATGTATTTTACTTTTATTTTGTTGGATATGGAATCTTTCCTTTTCTTCTCTTGTTCCAACTTTAATGTTCTCTCGGGGCGTGTCGGCCATAATAACAGAAAAAAGACGAATCGAATTAAGGTCAGAAAATTTTATTTTATTTTGACAAATTTATATAATGTATTTTTTTTTTTTTGAAATTTTTGTTGATTTTGTATTTTCTTGGCGGGCTAATAATTCTAGGAATTTATCTAAGGTACTTATTTTCTCTAAAAAATAGCATTCAAACGAATAAATTTTGATTTTGCTCTTCTTTACACGCGTTCTTTTCGTTCTTATCTCGTTCGTTATTCTTAGGAAATGTTTTATCATGGATTTAATAACTATATGAAATATGCTTTTCCTGAAGATGAGGTTAGAAAAATAATTGAAAATTTTAATTATAAATAATAACAAATAGCTAATTTAGATTTATGTTATGTAGTTAGATCCAATTAACTGCGTCGGAAGAGGAAGCGATAAGAAAAATCCGTAAGAACAAAAAATTAATTTAATCATTTAATTAATTTACATAATTCTCATAATGTTTAATCATAAATATATAATGATTTAGAAATAATATATTAATAAACGATGTTCTTGGAGATTTTTCATTAACTCTAATTGATTCTCTCGATTCCTTTGTGGTAAATATGATTTTTCGATTTAATTCAGTATAATTCAATGTAATTCGGTGTAATTCGGTGTGATTCGGTGTGGTGTAATTTCAATTTATAATATTTATACATATAAATGCGCTATATAGGTATTTAATGACAAAGTTGAATTCGAAACTGCAGTTCGTAATGTAATCAAACATGTTTCATTCGATCAAAACAATAGAGTACAAGTATTTGAAGCGAATATTCGCGTATTAGGAGCTCTGGTATCGTAATTAATAGTTCCTTTTTATTTATTTATTTATTTATTTATTTTTTTCTTTGAATTACTTAATTTGATTCTTTCCTTTTTTTTTGTGTCGACAGTTATCAGCTCATTTATTTGCCACCGATTCTCGATTTGGTTTTAAGATTGAAGGTTATAATAATGAATTACTGGATTTAGCTTATGATTTGGGACAAAGATTATTACCAGCATTTCAAAACACAAATACAGGAATTCCTTACGCAAGAGTAAGTTTTATATTATCACTTTTTGAATTTTAATAAAATTTCTAAAAAAAATATTATTTTAAAATTTCATATAGGTAAATTTGAAACATGGTGTGATGAATAGTGAAACAGATGAGACTTGTACTGCAGGTGCTGGTACTTTTATCTTAGAATTTGGTGTCTTAAGTAGATTAAAGAATGATACTCGTTTTGAGGAAGCTGCACGTAGAGCGTTATTTGGTTTATGGGATAGAAGAACAGATTTAGATTTAGTTGGAAATGTTATAAACATTCAAACTGGACAATGGATACATACCGCTTCTAGTACTGGAGCTGGTATTGATTCATTTTACGAATATTTAATTAAAGCTTATGTACTTTTTGGAGAAACAGAATATTTGGATATTTTTAATGAAGCATATGCTGCAATTTTAAAATATGTTCGAGATGAATCGGGATATTTGTATCGAAATGTTAATATGATGAACGGAGGATTAATGTCAAGTTGGATAGATAGTTTATCAGCATTTTTTCCTGGTTTACAGGTGAATTAATTTATATTTCAATCTATTTATATATATAATATATTGTATAGAATTTGGTTTATATTTTATTTTATTTTATTTTATTTTTTATGTATAGGTATTTTCTGGTGATTTGGATACCGCTATAAAATCTCATTTATTTTATTTTAATATTTGGAGAAAATATCGAGCTATTCCGGAAAGATTCAATTTTTATTTAAAAAATGTTGAAATTTCTTCATATCCTCTTAGGCCTGAATTTATTGAATCCACATATTTATTATATCAAGTATTAAGCAAGCTACTTCATGATCATAATAATGTATTCTCTGCCTTTTTTTAATTCTTTCGAATGCTTATGCCTTTAAATTTCGCAGGCTACTAAGGATCCTTTTTATCTTCAAGTTGGCGAGATGGTATTACAGGATTTAGAATCAATTTCACGTGTAAAATGTGGATATGCTTCTATTAAGAATGTATTTACTAAAAAATTGGATGATCGCATGGAAAGCTTTGCATTAAGCGAAACATTTAAATATTTATATTTATTATTTGACACTGGTAAATTAAATTAAGTTCTCCCCTTTCTAATTGAGTACAAAGAAACTTCTCTAAGTGTACCTTCCTTGGAATCATAGTAAACGGACCATGGATTTAGAGAAGGTGTGCACTTATAGAGAGTAAAATATATAGATCTCTTATAAGCTGGGACTGAGTCATGCCGTGTATTTAGAGAGAATTTTTAATAGTAGATGCATTTATAGAGAGAGAGAATTTATATTGTGCGTTCATTTATAGAAAGTGCATTTAGAGAGGTTTCTCTGTATTAATTGTTTGTTAATTAAATACTAATTGAGTACTGATTGATTGAATACTAATTTAGTAGTATTTTTTTTTTCTTTTCAGATAATTTTCTCAATAAATTAGACGATAATTTTGTTTTCACAACTGGTAAAGTTATAAAGTTAATAATTATAATTTTGATATTTTTTATCATCATCATTACATTAAACACTATTTCATTAGATTAAACATTATTTTCATTACATTAAACATTATTTTCTTATTTTTAATAGAAGCACACATTATACCATTGCCTGTTCAATATTTAAAAAAATCAAAACGAGATATTATTCCTAAAACAGAAAATCTTACATGTCAAGCTTATCAAAAGAAACCAACCCAATTTGCTGCATCTATTACAAATCGACCTGACGCAGATTTTGCAAGAGAATTGGTTGGACTTGAGGAAATATCATTACCACCATTAGATCCTCATGGATATTGTGAAGTTCCTGAAACAGATCCTTTAATAATAAGTATCGGCTTTACCAACTCTGATCCCGATTCCCAACGACCTTTCCAACAATTAGTACAATATTTTAATGGAATAATTGCAAATAGTTTGTCAGGCTTGAAATTAGAATTGACAAGAAGAGCTGATCGCAAGGGTTATGATGTAACTAAAGGTATTTTATGGTAGTAAATTTCACCTAGTAATCTCAATCATTTTAACATTTTATAAAATTTGCGACTTATAAATTATATACTCGCAGTGGACGATATGAGGTAACTTTTATAAAAATTAAATTTTATTTTTTTTTTGTAATTATAATGTATTGATTATAATAATAATAAAATTTAATATAATAAAATTTAATCTAATAAATTTAATATAATTTTATTATTTTATTTTGGTTAGGATTCTTCCTGGACAAATTTTTGAAATACGAGACCCAGCTATAAAGCAAACATGGATTAAGCAACAAAAATATGAGACTTCGATTGTTCGAGTATTCCATGATTCACACGAAGATTATTCAGATTATATTGGAGCAATGGCTTCTTTTGGACCACAAATCACAGAGGCACTACCTATCTCTTATCTGATAAAAATACCACTATCATCAAATGGTTGTAAATCATTTAAAGCTGAAGAGAACATAATAAAAGATAAAATATTATTTGTTAAACGTGGTGGATGCACCTTTGTCGAGAAGGTTTCAAATGCTCAAGCTGCTGGAGCGAAAGCACTTTTAGTTGCTAGTGATGATAATGTTTTATTTAGACCAGTTCCTTCTTCTGAAAATGATGAGTCTATTTATTCAATACCTTGTATTCTTATAACTAATGAATCCGGAATGGAATTGGATAAACTTTTATCAAAATCATCAGATGTACGAATAACATTAATGCCTGATATCCGTGAACCATCAACTTACATTTCTAATGATAGTAATAATGAGCTTCTATTAGTAATTCATGGTAGAATAATACGAAATGTTCGACTTAATTTTAATGGTCAATAATAAAAAACTCAATAAAATAATTTCATAACTAGTTAAATTGTACTTTTCTCCCAGAGTACTGTCCAAATATATGACATTTAAATAGTAAAGACGTAATTTTTATGTTGCACAAGTGTCTGTTACATATGCGGATATATTAATAAAACAATCCATTAAAATCTAATCCATATTTATTACCACTCCATACTCCCACCCAATTTGTGTTTAATATATCCACAACAACTGCGAAAGTATAAAAGTAACCAAAGTTATGTTTCGGCCTTGAAAACACGAAACTGGCACGAATCAGGTAAGCATTTTGAAGACTGCTTTGGAATTGATTTTTCTATTGCGCCAGTGAGACATGGCAAGTCAAGTGTATTGAAAAGTAGTATAATAATGACATCAAAATTGTAAACCGCAAGACAACTTTCTCGTGACATTCATTGAACTTTTTTTAAAAAGGAGCATGTGATTCTGAAAAATGAAAATAGAAATGGCACAAGGAGAGGACAAAAATATACATGAAAAAAGATATAACATTAAAGAATGCCTGTCACAATACTTTTTTATGAATTGTAATATTATGACTAGTAACTATTTTGCCGTGCTGTAATCCGTAATTAATGTAGTAATATGTTATTAATGTAATTTTCAAGCTATTTTTTCGCATTGCCTTTTTGGACGTCAATAATTTAATTTATTTATCAAGTTTCAAATGAGAGCTTTAGAATAATATTAATAATATCATATTATAAAATCGATTTTTTAATAAAAAATATAATCTAATTTATGAAAAAACATAAAATAAATAATATTATAATGATTATCATATTGTGCAATTAAGCCAAACAAATGACTAATTTTCTATTAAATATCAACTTTGAATCCAATCCTTTTATGATTCTTTGATGATGCAATGGAAAGAGAAGAGAAAAAAGGTCATTGTCTTGATGATTTGATTACTATGTGATCTTTTTATTATTAAAAATAAAAATACTAACGTTTAAAAAAAATATTCCAAATGTTTAATAAACGTAATATGTTTTATAACAGATTGCAATATTAAAAAACGTATTAAATCTTTTTGCTTTTTTATATTTATACTTTTTTTTTTGGAAGTGAAGATGATGTTTGCTGGTTTTAGGTTTATTTCAACAGATGTGTGTGTGAAATTCTGTGATTAAGGAGATTTCAAAATCAAAATTGGCAATTGTCGATTTTATACATAACATGCAAAGTTAAAAAAAAAAAATGAAAATCTCTGAAAGAACCATATATAATGTTTTCTGTGAGTAATTCAGGTATTTTGAGCAGCAAGTTGTTTTTTTTTTCAATTTTCATTGTGAATACTGGCATCTGATGGAATCGAAGTTTTCAAAAACCTCCAGCGAAGGTTAACAATCAAAAATGCTAATAACATTGAGCACAAAGTGATTTAAATATTAATGCATGCAAATTGGTTTATATAGTTTTTCCCCCAGGAAAATTATTCAGGCATTATAATACAGTAAAATCATCATTGATTCTTGCGAATACAACATTTGTAACATTTCGTAATATTTATAACCGAGTTGGTCTATTTTATTAATATCTATATTGCAAGGAGACCGAGAAATTGAGGGGATGATGATGAAATAATAAATAATAAATATGATATAAATAATAAAAAATAATATATTTCTTAAGAACAACTACCATTAATCATATTATAATATTAATAATATTAAAAATCATTGTAATCCTTAAATTTCAATGAAATAACTTCAAAAGTAATATATTTTTTTTTTTTAAATATTATTTAAAAATACTTTCTTGATTCATTAAAATATTTCCTTTACCATTAGGTCCTTCTTTAAATTCTTTTAACATTTGTAAATATAATTTTGCCAATCTTCGACAATTCACAATTGCATTTACTCCTTCAGTTTTTTGGCATTTGATTAATTGCTTTTTAACCAATCTTACTTCCATTGCTTGAATCCAATGTTCTCGAATTAAATATTCTTTATTTGACATCCTAACTATATATTATTATACATATATATTTCAATATGAATTAGAAAATATATTTTAATATGAATATTTAAAATAATATATTTTGATAATGAATGTTTAAAATATTAATATTATATATTTTTTTTTATTGTAATAATGTCTTTGATAAAATACAAATATATTCATTGAAATAGCACTAACCTTCCGGTTCTGGTTTTTCCCCTTTTACTTCAGTAAATTTGGGAGTTTCTTTATGTGGGTATTCCCAGCTTCCCATTTCTACTTGTTTGTTTTGATATCTACAAGTTTAAGAAGCAATGCAAAAAAAAATGTATAGCTTAAATTTCATTGGTTGGGTTGCACATAAAATAAGAAATATAAATTACCATCCGTAACACAACATAAACATTCCACGAATTTTTTTATTGTACAGTACATTCACCGACTAGGTGCCTAGGTACCATTGACCAGAATTATAAAATTGGCCTATGTAGATCCTTCTAACCTTAACCCTAACTTTGGCCAGTTTTAATCTGAGTCAAGAATCAATCCGAGGCACAACATTTATAAACAAAATATTTAGATTTAGAAGGTTGAAGATTATTTCATGTCGTCGAAACATTGATATTAATGTAATTATATCAAGTGTAAAATAAATCAATAAATGATCCTTTTTTGAAATGTCACATTCTCTTGCAGAAAAAGCTGCCTGTCTTAGGGAATAAAAATGTCCACATAATTTTATATTTACATTAAATATTAAATTATTAAATTAAATATAATATTGGTATTATATTTACATAGAAATTTTAACTCCTTGATTTCTCATTAAAGAAAAGTAATGAAACACTATTTTGAATTTTGTTGTTTAGAAAATTAAATAAACTTCTATTATAATATTATATTTGTTATTCATATTTATTGTACATATGTTTTAATGTTATAAATAAAAATTTTTGTAATAATATTATTTTCTAAAACCCATCTTTTAAGAAGAAAAAAATCTAGTATACTTATTTTTGAAATCCCAATACTTGTTTGCTAACTAATTCAGAGTATAATCCATGTTGAGCAATTAACTCAAAATGAGTTCCTGTTTCAACAATTTCACCTTTATTTACAACTAAAATCACATCCGCATTTTGAATTGTTGATAATCTGTGGGCGATTATAACTGTTGTAAAGTTTTTACTTGCTATATCAATTGCATCTTGAACCAATTTTTCAGATTCAGAATCCAAAGAAGAAGTTGCCTCATCAAGAAGTAAAAGTTTGGGATTTCGGATTAAAGAACGAGCAATTGCAATTCGCTAAATATTTATATAGTTTATATATTAAATTTTGATCAAACA